TCACTTAGACAATTCAAACTCAGCAGACTTCCTGTCTCTGATTCAGTCCTTTGATCTAACATGGGTTCTCAGCCCCCCGACCCACAAAGCTGGCAAGGCGCTTGACCTCGTTCTTGTCCGAAACTGTGTCACAGAGTGCCTAACAGTCACACCTCTACATGTGTCTGACCACTATTTTATTCAGTTCACGGTATGCCTACAGGAAAAGCCCATTCTTCCAACGCCATTGGTTTCACACCGCCGCAACCTGTCTCCCACTCACTTTGCCTCAGTGGTAGCTTCCGCTCTACCTTCCCTCAACACATTTTCCTCACTTGAGGTCAATGATGCCACACAATCTCTGTGCTCTACACTAAGCTCGTGCCTGGATAGCCTGTGTCCTCTATCCTCCAAGCCTGCTCGCCCAAACCAGTCCCTCCCGTGGCTAACTGATACCATCCGTGGGCTCCGTACTGATCTCAGAGCGGCTGAAAGAAAATGGCAAAAAACCAAAGAACCCGCCGACCTTAAGGGCTACCAATTGCTCCTATCCTTCTTCTCAACAGGCATCAGTGCTGCGTTCTATAATAACAGAATTAGCAGTGCCACTGACTCAAGGAAAATATTTTCCACTTTTAAAGTGCTACTAAATCCTCCTCCACCACCCACAAACTTGTCTGCTGATACCTTTGCTGCTTTCTTCACAGGCTACAACTAGCCAATTCTCTGAAACATTCAAACTCAACCATTGTAGCAGTCCTACTACATCTTTTTCTCTGCCCTCCAAGGGCCGGGGTTCTTCACTCTCCTCATTTACTCCTCTTACAGAGAGCGAAGTATCAGAACTCTTGACCCGTAGCCGTCCAACTACATGCCCACTGGACCTGATTCCTACGAATCTCCTCCAAGCCATTTCTCCTACCGTGGCCCTGACAATCACTCATGTGATGAATACATCTCTGGCTTCAGGAACCTTCCCGACCACTTTCAAAAGGGCCCGGGTTACACCCTTTCTCAAAAAGCCCTCACTCAACCCATTTCAAGTTGAGAACTATCGACCAGTGTCTCTTCTACCATTTCTTGCCAAAGCTATTGAACGGGCAGTATTCAAACAGGTCTCAGAATTCCTCTCACAGAATGACCTCCTAGATCCATACCAGTCTGGTTTTAAGAGTGCCCACTCTACTGAAAAGGCTCTTCTGTCTGTAACAGAAGCCCTAAGGTCAGCTAAAGCTGCAGCCCAATCCTCTGTTCTTATCCTGCTTGACCTATCAGCTGCCTTTGACAAAGTCAACAACAGGATCCTGCTATCCGCTCTCTCAGCAATGGGCATCTAGAGTAAAGCACTCCTGTGGTTCGAATCCTACCTCTCGGGGCGTTCCTGCCCCAAGGCTCAGTGTTAGGGCCCCTTCTCTTCTCAATTCACACCACCTCACTGAGGCCGATCATTCGCTCGCACGCCTTCTCTTACCACTGCTACGCTCTACCTATCCTACGATACCTACGATACGCAACTCTACCTATCCTTCCCTTTATTGGCATGAATGTTACACATTCTAACCCTGGATGTGCTCGCGCGCACGACAACACCAATGCCTGAGACTGGGTGGCTCATTATGGCTCTGGGCAGGTGAGTTGTGCTTGGTGGTACCGTATGGGCCAGTTGGCGTTGACTCATCCTAATTTACCTCGGACCCAATAGCGATAGCCTTAGAATGTGAAGCCTATACGAAATAGAAAAGGGGTTACGTACTGTAACCCTGATTCTATAATAATGCGTTGATTTGATGTGTTCTTATGGCGTCTATGAAAATATCAGCCATATTCTTTCAGCTCGGCTGTGGGGGCGTTTCCACATTAAAACACTCGGCACTGAATAAGTGGTTGTTCCACCTCACTTTAAAAAACTTCTCGTCACTTCAAAAATAAGATTAATTTATTTAACACACTCAAAAGTGTTCCAAACATTGTTCTAAATTAACTTCATAAAGCAATGAAATTATCCATTCATGCCATAAAATGTGCTCAAATACTGGCTGAAAGCGCCCACATCGCAAAAGGTGGGGAGGTAGGCTACATGACCAGTCTCTCTGATAGCCTATAAGAGAGCTACTAACCTAAAATAAATAGCCTCATATTAAAATTTAGTATTTCAATATCCATGCCAAACTGCTCATAATATTCAGCCTAACATAAGCAAAATGAAACCCATTTATTTTAACGACTGCGAGAGAAACAGACTGGGAGCAAATAAAAAATATTAAGCTGTAAGTAGGCTTACTGTAAAAACCTGTAGGCAACAATAGCCTAAGGCTTTTAATCAGTCTCTGTAGGATGATAGCGCTTTAGCCTACAAGAGTTTCTCCATATAACCGCAACAAACATAAAGGAGCCTATAAAAAGTCTGTGGGGTCTCCTACAGATGGTGATGTCATTTTCCAAGAGAGCTGATTGGTCAGTAGGCGGTGTTTTATAGAGTTGATCTCTTATCTGGAACATAACCTGCTCCGGAGAAGGTTAGCCATTCAGCATAAGTTACCATGGTGATCTACCCCGGTAAGAAGTACTGAAATCCCAGGGTTAACCCTGAAGTTACCTGGATAAGCTCAAATCCTGCTTCATGGTACAGGCCCCTGGTGTTATTAAGCAAAACTAGACAGGCCAGGTTTGAACACGGCCATGTCACCCAATAAGCTGACACTACTGGTAAGTTAAGTGTTTTAGTTAAACCTATAGAGATGTCCTGTCCTTTGATTATAAATCAAATCTGTCAGGTAGGGAGTGTGTAGTAGCTGTTTTAAAGGACTGATTCTGGAGCAACATCATGGAGCCTCCTCCAAAGCTGCCAGTGTTGAAAAGACATCTTATCAAAAGTCACTTTTTAAAAGGAGACATCAAACTCTTACAGATTGTCTTGTATTATATGATCCTCCAGATCTAAGCTAAGAGCACAAGTCATTTCAATTCAGTCAATTTATTTATTTATTTATATTATTTCATAGCAGGTTCATCAGCCTCCACCTCTACCTCCATTGGTGTCATCCAAGAAGCTGACAGTGCTGGTAAGTTTAGGCCTACATCAACAATAATTAAACAATTATTCACCTCCAGCAACAGTGTATGAACATGTCAATTTACTAAAATTACTAATTTTCTTTGTTAATCTTCCTCATAGGTCTACCTGTGCCTGTTGAAGTGGAGAGCAGTACCATTGTGGTACCACCACACCTGTCTCTCCAATTTCTACTCCTTCAGTGGATCCAGCTGACTGGACATCAGGCCTTAATGACCAGTTACACGTTGATGTGATGAGCAGGGAACCAACACCGGTTGACAGAGACATTTAGACTTTTCCAAAAAGACACTCAGACAGTAAAAGTCTTTTCTATCATTAGATGTTTAGATCACTCATAAACTGTTTTGTTGTTTTGTCTCTTAATCTCTTGTCTGGCTGTTATTAAAGATTTAAGCTTAAGTCATAATCAGTTTATCAGTCTTTTTTATTCCGCACTAAGTTCCTCAGTGTCTACTGGCTCTTGTGGTATCATAGAGTATGTTTCCTGTTTGACTTCAAACATAGTAGATGTAATAATATTGAGTTATTGTTCTTCATCAGAATCAGCTTTATTGCCAAGTAGGTTTAAGAAATTTGCTTTGGTGTGTTTGTGCTAAACAAACATGGCAGGTTTATAAACATAAGAAAGATTCATCTTATTTAAAAACAAGAGATGTTTGTGTGTCATATATAGTGACAACGCCCGACTGTCAGAGGGGCCAACTAAATTTTGGATTTGGGCCCCCGAAGGCCTAGGGCCGGCTCTGCCTCAGAGTCATCATCGTCATCAGCACACCTGACACGTGTTCAGCTATCTGCTACAGCGTAAATGGAAGGCTCAGACACCCAGTCCCCGCCGGATCGTTGTGTAATCATGCGTATGTCTTGTCTGACCCGCCAGCTTTGAAATCTGCTTGCTGTGAAATCTAACCTGTGTCTCCCTCTGCTTCAGATACCTTTGTCGAGCTTCAGTAAGCCACAAGCCAGGAACCCTCTGTTCAGCCCGCAGCCTGGACCTCCTTCCAGCCGCAGCCTCCCCATGTTTTCTCCCAGCTCTGGACTTTGAAAGGAGCCTTTCTCTCTCGCACCAACTTCCCTGCACAATCCTTTTGTTAATAAACCTTGAACTCTCAGCTGTGATCTGCGTTTGGGTCTTTCTCTGCCTCTAATTTTGACATTTGAAGTGTTTTGTAGGCTAATCCAGTAACACCAAAAGAATTAAAACAATTTATTGCCTTGTGCAATATCAACAAATTATTAGTGAAACTGTCCCTCTCATTGGTGCTGTCATTTATTCTAAATATATACTTGAAACTAGTAGCATAGAAAACGTGTTCATTGTGGCATAGTTTCCTTTGCTGTTGCCTGTTTTTGTGATAAACCTAGTGAATACTAAAGAAGACCATGGTTTCTGATCATTTTGTAGAAAAATGTTGAGTATGAAACAATTGCGTGAGTGTGAGGGAATCAAATAAATAATTATTAGAAGTTTTTTTTTTTTAACTTGAGCCCCTGCCCACTACAGTACATGTCCTGGCATGTCAATGATAAATTTAATTGTAATTCATTTATAAAACTCTTGAACTTTAGTAGCTCCTCTGTTTCAGCAGGTTTTCTGCTCATGTTCAAAGCTTTCTGCACATTCAGAATCTCTCCCACATACATGTGTTTAATGAGAATTCACAAAAGTGTACACTCCATATACTCTGCTATGCATTGCTCCGCTGGTAGTAATGTCAACCCCTTCAGACTGTTACGTAAAAGAAACTAACTGACAACACTTATAAAATGGTTTTGTTTTCCCTGAAGTCACATGGCTTCAGTGGAAATTGAAACAGTGAGTTTGGGCAGTCATCTGTTAACTTTAACATTAGTCATCACTGATTTACAAGTAATGCGCATGCAAAGTTTCTCAGCTCCTTAGACCTATCACATAACATCAGATTTGTTAAGAGCAAGTGGGAGGGTTTTCTATTTATGGAATGGGGACAGAGAAGGCAGCCATATCTACACATAGCAGCTAAGGGAGTTGAGTTTGTACAGCAATTATAGGTTGTTTTTGTAGACAGACATAAGATCTGAATATGTGCAGCAATGTGGTTCTAGAGACAACGACTGTAGTGGAGCTACTACAGAAGCAGTTTTGAGTGCTTTGCCAGGCGTTTATTTGTCTGTCTGTCTGTGGAACAGGTGAGGCCAACAGCTTTTGAGCGTTTCAAAAATATTTGCCTTGTTCATTCATCACAAAAGTATTTATTTATGACACAGATTCTACAAAATTTTTTCTGCTAAATGTACTGCACGTTTCAAATGGACGCATGAATTTTGTCACACCCGATTCAGTCAGGCTGAATAAGACTAAAAACAGAAAATTGCAATATTTGCAACATTTCACCCGCATGAAGTTTGCCAAAATGTAAGATGCCTTTTATTTATCTTATCAAAAAAATGTTTGGTCAACTTGAAAGGTGATGTGCATTTGCAGTAATAGTTTATTGTTGTATTTGTCTAAATGGCTTTGTCTTATGACTGTGACTGATGAAGATGGTTAAGAAGTTAAGATGGAGGCAGACAACCATGACAACACAACAGCTGGAGGAGGAGGAGAGTCTAAAACAAAATCTTTAAGACCAAATGTCAAAGGTTATCTAAAAATTATTTTTATTAAATATTTCATAAACTAAGGATGGTAAGGTAACCCACTATAGTTTTTGAGGCTGATGCTATGTGTTGTGCTTTTTCTTACATGACCATGTAGATGAGATGGAGGATTGTGCAGCCAAAGCCAAGGTAAAGATCTTTTCACCTACATTAGTCATCATTAACTTACAGCTGCATTTAAAAAAAAAATTGTGTTATTAGTAGTGCGCACTGTTCTGGTACACAATTAGTACAAAAATTACACTTTAAATTAGGAAGAATTCCACTGTACATTTTGGGCTCTATAACTGCAGAGAATTCTTCCCTAAATTTAATTTGTGGAAATCTATGATAAAACAAACATTCATGAACCTCCTGGTTTGACATTGTACCATGAAACCCTTTTTGAGTGTTTTCTTTTCACATTAATACAATATGATTTGCATTTGGTGGTTATACACTTTCATCTTGCTCTTATTTGATATGCTGTATCAGTTTTGTTGATCTTTTTAGTTAAAAGTTAAGTTAAGTTAAAAACACATTGTAATCTATATAGGTCTAATCTGGCGAAGTAAATCTTAAATAAAATCACTTGTTCTCTCAGTGGGATCCAGTGAATGAACCTGATGAAGCTCAACACTCAGAGAAGAACAGTGAAAGCACAAGAGGAGAGTCTGAAATCAAGTCGGTACCATCTGCAACCAAAGAGAAAGGTAATATTTTACAACAGTTGATTATACAGTACACAAACCTGGTCCAATACATACATTAAAAGAAAAGAAAAACATGGTCACTTTTTATAGAAGACATTTATACCAATGTTTCCGTTGTGCATGTGAGAGCTGCCAGCTATTTCTTGCGATTGCTACCGCTGTCGGTGCAATGTGCGGCTCCATCAGCTAAGAGACTCAATGATGTGCTGCACACTTGTTCAGAAAAAATATGTGTTAAGTTTGGCCCCCTTTTCGTTAACATGCTGTGAGCAGGGTTTTGTCCATCAATCTCTGGACCCGGAGCAAGAGCAAGACCACCAGACTACTCAGATACACTGTGAAGGGAAGGCTTTCAAGTTTCTTTGTCAATCATGTCTTATTCTGACAAAAAATAGAAGGCATGATTTGCTTATAAACATATTTTCTGTGATGGCTACTGCACTGTTGAAGAATAAAATAAATGAACATACATTTATCTGACACTTTTATCCAAAGTGACTTACAATTGCTGTACATGTCAGAGGTCGCACGCCTCTGGAGCAACGAAGGGTTAAGTGTCTTGCTCAGGGATACAATGGTGGATGGGTCACACAGCTATAGAGTTATCAAGCTATAAAGTCTTTTACAGTCCAATTCTTTGGCTGTTCATTTATTTTATTTTTCAACAGCGGAGTAGCCATCACAGAGCAAAACATGCCTTTTATTGGTGCTTAGGAGCCATTTTTTTGTCAGAATAAGACATAATTGACAAAGAAACTTGAAAGCCTTCCCTTCATAGGAACACAGTCATTTTAAAATGCACAAAAATATTAATATAAAATCAACCATTACAGATATCAGCAACACAGGTAATTGCACCCATCTCATGAAGAAGATGTACAATTTGAAGTTGGAACCAAATTTATAGGACAAACGGTACAGGAGAAGATAGATGCCAAAGAACGGCGGAATAAATAATAATAATAATAATAATAATAAAGAGTGAAGAGAACAAAAGTGCGAGAGCTGCAGCTCTCACACTAACTAGTACATCAAGTATGGCCAAGCTAAAGCCCCGGAAAAATGACCTGGCGATGGGAGTAGAAGAATGCTGTGATGACGAAACTCGCTCTGTAGCGCTGTTTGTCCGTTGTCGACTATTGTAGAAACCTGACCACAAAATACTGCGACGTCCATGGAAGGGGGTGCCCGCGGTTATGTAGATAAAAATGGCTCATTCTAAGGTAGTAAAAACATAACGGTTCATTATTTAAGGTCTTTATACACCACTGAAAACATAGTTATAGATATGAATGAATGAATCCTCAGAAATATTACACACTGAAGCTTTAAAAAAGAATATCCACATACGGTCACAATAGGCAACCTGAAGCCTATGTAAGCTCGCCTTTTTAAACTTGACCCACAAGGGGCAGTATAGAGGGAAGTGCAATATGCTCTAAATAGACTTAACACATGTAGAATTTTAGTGCAAACATGTCAGCTTAAGCATATAAAATATGGTACTGCCTATGCATATCATCATCAGAAATTTGATCTGCAATAAAGTGATCCAGTTATTTTGTTTTATTCCAAAAACATAGCACTTGCCCTGACAGATAAAAATCTGGAAAGTCGAGGTCCTCATCCCCTTTTGTTCTACAAATCATCATGACAACACTCTTTTTAGCATTGTATTGCACATCATGTTTGACCCCATAATCAGAGCATTCAGCAGTTGTTGATACCCAGCAGGAGAAAGAATAGCCAGATTGTTGGCATACATATGATGATTTATTAGAGCGTTACCAATCAGAAGGCAGTTTTGCAGCCTCTTAGTTGGCCAGATAAATCACATAATAATAATTAGTCATTTAGCTGGCGCTTTTATCCAAAGCGACTTACAATTGCTATTTATGTCAGAGGTTGACTCTCTGGAGCAACTAGGGGTTAAGTGTCTTGCTCAGGGACACATTGGTGGATGTCGCAGAGGGAACTGAACGCGGCTCGAACACACCAGAGGCATGTGTTTTATCCACTGCCCAATCATCACCCCATATGAAATGAATGAACATGGATGAAATCATTCATGTACATATTAAAGGGAGCTGGTGAAAGTAACTCCCCCATCATACGCTATTTCCAACGCCAAAGGGAGCAGAGACTCCATTTCCCCATTTGACCTGCATATTCTGGTTAGCATACCAGCATACCAATGTGCCAACCATGCTGTCAGGCACACTTTTTTGACTCAATTTCAGAAGCAACTTTTGGTGATTAACTCAGTCAAAAGCCTTTGAAACATCAATAAAGGCAATTAGAACAGAGGGGTTTTGCCTTCTATACATTTCAGCTACTTCTTTCAAGGCATAAATACACAACTCAGTTCTCCAATGTATTAATATATTCACATACACAATCTAATAGAATCCTTTCCAGGACTTTAGATACCACACTAGCTAGTGGAATTGGCCTATGATAATCCAGGCTCCCAACCTTACCAGCTTTGTCCTTGATGAGGCACAAGAATAGTCTGGCAATGGTCCCTGTAAGCCAGTAAAACATATGGCATGAAGAACTGCAACCTCTGGACTTGCAAATTTAACATGCTCTGCAGTGATTTAATCTGAACCACTCAACTTTACCAGCTTTTTGTACCATAGCAAAGCGACACCTTCTGCTATACTTGCTACTCCTCTCACTATCCCCCATAGTAAGATCAGTTGTGGATTCAACAGTCCCAAGGAAAGTGTCATTAAGTGGTGCTAATTAGCAGAGTTTCAGGAGCAGGAGCACACATCGACCACGTCATTGCCAGCATTTCCATAAATACCCACACATTTTGACTCCTCTTCTTCGCTCTCGTATCCTGCATGGCTCTCGCATTCCGCACCCGAACTGAGACCAGGCAACAGCTTGTCGAGCACGCTACGCTAACGCTGCTATGCCATACGATGAATCATCACAAGCTATTCCATCCATCCACTTACTTCTTCGAGAAGTGTCGGTAAATCGCCATTAGACGATGAATTATTCCAACGAATTTACAACAGTCGTTTTCAATGTCCAGGGCAGCAGAGCCTGCACCAGAAGACGAACTCTTCTCTTCCGTCTCCATGCTGAGACCCCAGTGCCCCCAGGCCGCCTACCATCAACCGGCTTCAGCTGGGGCACCCGGATGCCAGCACCCCCAGCCGCCCACCCTCAACCAACCACAGAAAGAGACAGCAATTACACCAAGCAACCCCAACAGCTTTGGCACCAAGATGCCAGCGCTCGCCGCACTCTACTTCTAACCTAAGCAAAGAGCATCAGTAGGGACTAACGTCTGGCTCTCAGTCGTTCGAGCTAACATCTGGTTCACGGTCATTCGAGCTCACAGTCGTGTGCGAGCTAACGGCCGGCTCTCAGTCATTTGCGAGCTAATGTCCGGCTCTCAGTCGTTTGCGAGCTAACATTCGGCTCTCAGTCGTTTGCGAGCTAACGTTCGGCTCTCAGTCGTCTCGAGCTCACAGTCACTTCAAGAGCCGTCGTTTCGAGCTAACATCCGGTTCTCATTCGTTTCGTGCTATCTTCCGGCTGTCAGTCCTTTCGAGCTCACAGTCGTCTCTAACTAACATCGCGGCTAACAGTCCTTTTGAGCTAACATCCGTCTCGTGCTAACATCCAGCTAACAGTCATCTTGAGCTAACGTCCGGCTAACAGTCGTCTCAAACTCACAGTCACTTCGAGCTCCGTCGTTTCGAGCTAACATCTGGTTGTCATTCGTTTCGTGCTCTCTATCGGCTCTCAGTTGTTTAGAGCTCACAGTCGTCTCTAACTAACATGCAGCTAACAGTCCTTTTGAGCTAACATCCGTCTCGATCTAATAATGGCTAACAGCCGTCTCGTGCTAGTATCCGGCTAACAGTCGTCTCAAGCTCACAGTCACTCCAAGCTCCGTTTGTGAGGGTCTGTCGTATGGGCAGGTTGTTGGACCCAAATGCAGGAACAGATACAGGTACAGTTCAAAAGGGTTTATTTAGGCAAACAAAAGGCGAGCACACTTACGGGCAGAGAGTCCAAAACAAGGTAATCCAAACAGAAATCCAAAACAGGGTCACAAGACAAGCAAGGCAAGCTACAAGGCAAGCTACAAGGCAAGCTACAGGACAACACACTGTAACACACTGTAATGACCGGACAAAGACTAAACAGAAATACCAGGTATATACACAGGGACTAATGAGCAGATCGGGAGCAACACAGGTGACTGGGATCAAGGTTAACGAGGCAGGCAGAGAGACAGCAGGGAAAACAGAGAGAGGCAGGCAGAGGCAACAGGGGGCAACAGAGAGGCAGGCAGGCAGAGAGATAACTGGGGAAACACTTGACAGGCAGACATGGGGCAAGATTAATAACAAACACAGACAGAACACATGTAACAAAATAGCAGACAAGAATCTAGAGAACACAGAACTAGAACACAGAGTCCCGAGCAGACTAAACCAAAATGATGGAGAAAGAACTAGAAGCAAATACTACGACATGAACTAAGGCACAGGACTAGGAACAAAGACATGGAACAAAAACCCAGACTCCCCAACAAGACACAGACAGGACTGAAACCCAGACACAGAGGAACCAAAATCAAAACATGGCCAAAATAATATAATCCAGACCAGCTCAGGACAGGATCGTGAAACTGTTGTTTCGAACTAACGTTCGGCTCACAATCATTTCGCGCCATCATCCGGCAAACAAGCTAAGCTGGCATTCAGCTAACAGTCATTTCGAACTCAGTCATTTCGAGCCAACAGTATTTTCTAGCTAATGCGTTCCGAGTTGTCTTTACCTAAATCGGTATAATCCTTTCAAGCAAACAGTAGTTTCTAGTTAAGTCATTTCGAGAAAACATCAAGCTAACAGTCGCCTCGAGCGAACGTCGAGCTAGCAGTCGCCTCGAGCGAACACTGAGCTAACAGTCCTTCAACCCAACCGTTATTAAACCAAAATAGTTTCGAGCCAATAATCGTTTCAGCTAACATCCGGCACACAGTCGTTTCTAGCTCACATTCATTTCAAGCTAACATCCGGCTAATAGTTGTTTCGACCCAACATCCGATCATGGCCACTTTGAGCTAACATCCGGTTCACAGTCATTTCGAGAGAACATCAAGCTAACAGTTGTTTAGAGCGAAAGTTGTTTTAAACCAAGTCACCTTTAGTTTAAATCAGTACGAGCTCAGCCGCTTTGATCCCACTTTAAGTCATTTCGCGTTAAAGTCGTTTCGCGTTACAGCCTTTTAGTAGCTTCAAGCTATCAGCCACTTGAGCTCCCAGTCACTTCAACCTCTCAGTCGCTTCGAGCTCACATCAAGCACACAGTCGTTTCGAGCAAACATTGGGCTAACAGTCGTTCCAACGAACAAGTCAATGTAAACCAAAGTTGTTTCGAGCTCAGTCGCTTTGAACTCGCTCGCTTCAAGCTCACATCGAGGTAACATCGTTTCGTCGTCTTTAACCAAAGTCAACAACAGCTTTCAAGCAATCACCGAGCCAGCAGTCATTTCATTCCTTCTAAAATCATTCGAGCGAACAGTCTTTCAAGCTAACAAGTGTTTCAAACTAAGTGTTCGAGCTAAGTCATTTCGAGCTAAAGCAGTTTCAAGTTTAAAATTGTCTCGAGCGAGCAGTCTCTTCAACTAAGTCGTTCAAGCAAACAAACCTTCGACAGTCGTTTCAAGCTAAAACCATTTTGAGTCAACAGTTGTTCGAACTAAAAGTGGCTTTCGGCACCAGGATGCCGTAGCCCACAGCGGCTCATTCCCAGTCATTGCCAACCGACTGTGTCACTGGTCAGGCGAACAGAAGTGTCACACTAAAGTCATTTCGAGGGAACAGTTGTTACAATTAGAAGGGGCTTCCAGTACCAGGATGCCAAAGCCTACCGCTGCTCGCTCCCAGTCCACGGTTTAGGGGTTCTATAAGGATAGATGGTTCGCAGTGGAATGGTCGCCAAAACCTTAACATTAACAGCATAGCTCTCTCTTGTGCTAGAGGCCAGCTTGAAGAGCTCCCGCCACGTCACAACTAGTACAACGTAATTGCATCACTCAGTTGTCCCGAACCTTACAAGCTATGTTCACACCCGCTTGGGTTTCACCTCCCTGCATCTCCCCTCGTCTCAACCTTCAGCGTCATACTCGCAATTCAGACTCATTCCCCAAACAACACCGCGTTCTACTAAAGAAACCATATAATTGGGCCTGCTTACACCCGTCTTTTCTCCTTGCAAGACCTTCGTGAACCAGTGCAACTCTGGGATCCCAGAGTACAACGCCAGATCGTCTCTAAGTCGGTTCCAGTGGCCTCTTGATTCCCGGTGCCACCGCCACTCCTGCCAAGCACTCTCTCGTCATGCTTTCTCCATCCATTACCCGGTCACTCCTTCAGTATCAGAGCTACCCTTTCAGCCTCCGACGTCATTCCCGAGCACCCGATACATATCATGCGCCGCTGATCCTCCCAAACGTACCATCATCACACTCATTCAAATCTCAAAGACCTCAGATCAGCCAATGCTCTCACGTTACTAGAAGCTTTTGGGGCTCTGTCGTCCCCGTTTCCCTAGCGTAGCTTCCCCACAACGCTTCAAATGTCTATTCAGCAACTGCAAGCCTCGTACATCTTTCTGTTTCGATCATCAATAAATCACTTAATCGTACCTGTTGATTGTGTGGTCCTTGCTAGTGAAGTGGCCACACGTCAACCACGTCATCGCCAGCATTTCCATAAATACCCACACGTCCTGACTCATCTTCTTCGCTCTCGTATCCTGCATTCCTCATACAACATGTTGGATATTTCACAACATAGATACATTATGGCAACCTTGGCAATTCTGCAGGCCCTCCAGGGGTCACACCTGCAATCTGTGAGAAAATATTTTAACATAATAAACTAATGTGAATGTGAGAGTTAGTTTATTACCTTTTATTTTTGTAATTGCCGTTCTGCAAACTCTGTATAACTTGCTGTTTCATTGATCATTGCAGTGTTATAATGATGTTGTTCTCTTATTTATTTTGTTTCAGTGATGGCTGAACTCACACTTGTGTTAATTGGTGACACAAATTCCATTGAGATTGGATCAAAAAACATCTTACTTGACCATGACGAGCAAGCAAATGTGGAACAGTTTTCATCCAAACTGTATGATTTGTGTGGTCGGCTCATCTATGTCATTAACATGCTTGGTCTGCAAAACATTGACAAATTCCCATTATATCAGGAAGTTCATGCCTTTATCTTACTGTTACCAAATGGTCGGCATAACAGCCATTATAGCTCAGGAGTGCAGTGGTTAGAAAAAGCTTTTGGGAAAAGATCACTTGCTTATTTAATGACAGTTGTGACTCATGAGTCAGATGAGAAATGTGAAAGTGCACTGACAGACCTGAAAGCCAACAGCAGTGAAAAAAGATACCACACATGTACCAGAAGTATGATGGATGAAAGAGAGATAATAGCTCTACTGGAAAAAATAGACGTCATGGTGTCTGAAAATGATCACCACTGCTACAGTGGACTGATCTGTGATGAAAATAAAGAGAAAATACATCTGGACCACAGATCCCACAAAGAAGAAGGGATCAATTCCTCAGAGCTTCAGCAAAATCAAACAGGTGAGATTTTTGTGTTGGCATTCACTGATTATATTCATTCATAAAGAAGTAGTGAAGTGGAAAGAACTTAAACTTGCTTGGCTATAATAAATATTTTACATTAAATTTGCAATGTGAAAGGGGTCCCTCATAGTAATGAATCTACAAAGAATTATCACCTGAATCTCATTATTTATCTGTCCCGTCTGAAAAGTTTGGTTTATTCTCACTGCTTTGATCGTGTTTTCAACTGTAGTTCAGCAAGGCTACCTGCTCAGCACCAAACAGCAGACAGACACCGTTAGTGGCGAGCTGGTGAAAAGTATACCTAATGTAAAATATCAGACAGAAGCATATGCATACAGTATTCATTACTCAAAAACATATATTGCTGGCATCGTGAGGGGGTGCCAGCAATTGTATTTAGGGGGATGTTACACCTCCTTGACGGCACCCCTGTCAGAAGTTGGTAGAGACCACTGTAGGGACAAAAACAGAATGAGGGGTCAAAACATGACTCCAAATTAATGATAATGTTTCACTGTAACTATTGGATGTATGAATGCGCAACTGTTTGCAAACTGTGCAAAATGTTATGTTCATAATTTCTTCTATCCCTAAAAATATGTTATTGTAGGTTTAAATAAATAATGAGAAGATGTAGGTTACTGCTAATTGTAGCCTGAGATCCTAGAAAATTTCAGTCAGTGGGGTATTGTACTCAGGTAAAAATTTTCGGTTACTTGTACTACTTGAGTATTTCCATTGTATACTACTTTACTTCTACTCTACTTGTGTTGTCTACTACTGTACTACATTTGACAGGTATTGTTACTAGTTTCTTTGCAGGTTAAGATTTTAGATTTTAACACTAACAATAGATACAATACACAGAGTTGAGACATGAGTTGTTGAACATTAATTTGAGACTCATTTCTGATGTTGTGCAGGATCAAGTATACGCCAGTCAAGTTTTTGTTGATTCAAGTTCTTTTACTGTTATCTCAAGGTGATTATTTCAGACAAAGATTGGTGCAGTGAGAGAGAGAGAGAGTGAGAGAGAGAGAGAGAGAGAGAGAGAGAGAGAGAGAGCATTTTAAGAACTTACAATAAGATTAGGCTGAGACAAGAAACCTTTTTCTCAGGAGCTTAATTTAAGAAGGGTGAGAAAATGGTCAAAATCTCATATAGTTGATGTTAAATTGAGCTCAGTTATGTATAGGATAAATAGGTTGGACGAAGAACATATCTTAGTTTGAATTTTCCTTGCCTCTGAGCCATTATGTTCTCACAGCATCATGTTGTCTCCATCCTCCCTTTGTCTGTGTGTCATCTGTGATGTAAAATAATTGATGTCTTAGAAGTTGCACCTCCAAACAAAATTTGACAAATTTGAAGTTACACTAAAATTTAAAGTTACTAATTAAACTTAAAGACTCATGTGTCATCAATTATTTTTACCTGTCATGGTGGATTATGCCAGACAACGGGATTGGACCAGATAGAATAGGCATACTGGTGCAGTTAGATGATTTATTGTTCACAAATGAATGAGCTAACAGACAGCTGTTGTTAGGCAGACGGGTACAGGTAGGCAGACAGGCAGACCAGTAGGCAGACAGGCAGGCAGATCCAGGTAACAAAACTCCAAACTGAAAGCTAACAACTAAGCACATAGCAAGTAGGATGAACTGCTAATGAACAAAGGAAGTTAACGGGTATAAATGGAAGTTATAGTTGGGTGTGGAAAAGTCAGAAAGGCATTGGGTGGACATCTTGAGGATGGTAGGTCTGGGAAGTTAGATGGGCTGTGTTTAAATAGTAAAAAAAAAAACAACTACATCCTAATGTCTTTTCCTAAACACTTTTTCTTGACCTCATCATGGTTTGCACTGAGGTCAAGAAAAAGTGTTTAGGAAAAGACATTAGATGTGAAGGGGAACTGAAGACAGCAGTGGTGCATAGAGATTCTGACCGCACTTACACTAAGCTAAATAATCATGCTACAGTGGATATTATTGATGGGGTCTGATGAGTTGAAACTCTTAACTGAACATTATAAACATACAGACATTCAGTAGAGATGGAACAGACATTCTTGTACAATTCAAATGTGTGGAAAAAAATAATAAAGAGAATAAACAATAACTTTGGTAAAAGTCAATACACTTTAATCGGGGGTCACAAATAATCTTTCTTCAAAATATACATTTTTTGGCATGTATCTATGTACAAATGAAATTCAACCAGTGCTTGGGCTTGCTTTATGTAGTGTGTGTGAAATTTACAAACTACAAGTATCAGATTTGTCATGTCACTCAAAGGTTTATTACATTTGTTTAGGCATAATTGTTATAGACTGTCCAGTCTTGTTATACACAAACTTCTCTTTGGCCCCCCAAAACACAGATAACGATGGGTAGTGACAACATAAATGGCTCAGCGCCACAAAGTGCACTTAATATCTATGTCAATCATTTAGGAAATGCAGTGGTGAAAACACAATGTTCTGAAAAAGGACATGTCAGTCATGTTGATCGTTTGTTTTCAAAAACGGAGTCAAATGTTGCTGCCACAAGGAATTGTGGAACGGAAATATCTCCTTTAGTTTTGTTAAGGATGGTCCAGTGTACCCTATGCTAAAGGAGATAAGAAAGGAAGCATTGTAGCACTTTTCAGGATTTAAAGATTTCGACCAGCTCTTTTCAAGTCACATTTAGGAACCTTCCTAAGCAAAAATGACTATTCGACCACATCCAGGGACAGAGAGAAATGCAGAGGTCCAGGGATGAGAAAGTGAGATTGAAGAGAGGAACTGAGGAGCATTTGGCTCAAAGAAAAGCAATAGAAAAGCACTTTTCTAAACCATTTTTATTACAGAGGCTAATGTAAAGCATTACTGGATTAACAGTAAAAGTTTAAGGAAGATTTAGAGGACAAACATCTCATACTAGTTTACTTTTTTGTTTGGTTAACTTACCAGGAATATTTTTTAAGTTGATTTTGCAATCTGCTTGTTGTTTCATTACCCTGGAGTAGACGAGCTGGAGGAGAGGGCAGCTCCATCAGAGGTAAAGGTGAGGTCTTTGAACCCTGATGCATTTCTATTTCTCACATCAATTCAATTTTCAATTTCTTACCTAATGATACATTATACACAGTATCCAAATCAAACTGTATAGTGAACTGAATATAGGAGCTGTGATTTTAGTTTAGCATGAACAGAGTTTGACTCCAAGAACCTCTTGGTTGGACACATAGATTTGAAGAGTTTATTTTCTTATCATTAAATACTAACCTGCTTGCATTCAGTTTGTGCATATTAATCTATGCTTTTATATTCAGTGTTCTTGGACTCTGAATTGGTGTCCTGCTGTGTGTTGTGATCTTCACATTCTTAATTTCAGTGGTCATTGTTCAAAAGGTCAGCATTAGGGCCTGTATTAATCCTTTATTGCCTTCTTGTGGACAAATAAAATGACGTGTTTCAGTAGGTTAATTTCTGCTCTGCCATGAAGTGTTAAAGGGGCTATATGTAGTTTCTCAATGAAATCACTTATTAATAGATCTAAATTTTACTACCTTGTCAATGGGCTGTAGCCTCACTTAAAAATGAAGCACATGCCTGTTTTCTCTGTTGCTTGCAACAGCCACTATTCTGCTTCTTATGTGAGGACACCTGTGCGTGCTCCCGAGCCTCTCTTAGACTACAACAACCCAACATTTGAATGACAACACCGCAGCTAGAGACATGCAGTACAAAAGAACGGGCTCCCAGCACAACACAGACTCCAACATAAAGACGGGAACGTTGAAGTAACAATGCCTGAATATGTCTGGGAAAAGCCACTGTCAGCATGCTGGTGTTTCCGCGTTTATTGTGGGATCTCTGTATGAAAGCGGTTGTGATTCAGATTGTGATTGTGTTAGTTCAAGCAAACATGCATATGAGCACACACCTGGTTGCAATGTTAAAACCGCACCGCTAGTGGCCGCTGAAAACTACATTTTACCTCTTTAAATACCAATTAATCAGAGGACACCAATAACTGCTGTTATCAAGTTTTTCAAATCCATGGCTGTACAATCCACATTTATTTCATTCAGCGTATTCAGTGTATGTGTGGCTCAACTCAGCTACAGCTAAATCAGGTACTGTGCTTTCATAATTGAGTAAGCTCTGTTTGTTCAATGTTACTCCTTGATATTGTAAGTTGAATGTTATTTAATATTTTTTGTTTAGTGGTATTATATAGTAGCTTCATGTAGATTGAATAGTGGTAAACTGCATGTAAAATACATGCTGTTCCTACATTTTTTATGTTGCAGAAATCATGTCAGTTCAGCTATTGATCTAAAGTAAGAAAAATACAGAGTAGCTCACATATGTGTGTGTGGTAGTTAAAGCATCATTAGGAGGACATCTCCACCACCTTAGTGGGCTATCTGTGGCAATTGCAAATTCATTTTACCAAGGTCTTAAGCTTGTGCTCATGCAACCAACACCATCTCTGTCACAGTTATATTATAAATGACCTGTTTTCTCAGTGTGATCCAGTTGAAGATGCTAAACACAGCAGAACAGTGGGAGGAGAATCTGAAATCAAGTCTGTATCATCTGCAACCAATGAGAAAGGTAACATTTGAATGAAAAATGTTATTGGACAGTAATTTTACAGTAAATTGTAATTCAACTGTATTAATGAAATAGGGAACTAACTAAATTAATCTGATATGTTGGCTGTGACCTTTCAATAGGAAAGGCTGATGAAGTTAGAGAGGTCAAAAATGAAAGCAGCAGTAACACGGGTGAGCTGCCCATGGACAAGTGTGACGCAGTGAGGGACACAATTCCAACATCTCAGACTGTTTCAACAGTGACCAAAGAATGTAAGAAATACTTCCATTTCCTTTTGTTTACATTGCATTTCTGCAAAATCAGTGTAATTCAAAATATCTGTTTGGTATAGGAGATTAAGCTTGCTGAACAATGAACTTTTTGAATATGCAAAACATTATTGAAAATAAATCTTATTAACCTGGAACAGTTAACTGACCAAAAACATTTTTTTACATTTGATCCTGCTTGTTGTTACATTACTCTGCAGTGGATGATCTGGAGGAGAGGGCAGCTACATCAAAGGTGAGATACAGTCACTGACTCAGGCCCCATCCACACTACTCCGTTTTAGTTTACAAACGGAGATTTAAAACGAATACAATCTCCGTCCACAACAGCGTTTTAGCTGCGTGTCAGAGTTGATCTCTGTCTACATTAAAACGACTGGAAACGCACATTTTGTGGCTGGTCAGGTACTCTGGGCATACGTGTGCTGGTAAACATGAAGCAGATGGTCTCTCTCTTCCAGTTACAGAAGATTTGGTGAGAGAATAAAATAATGCAGACAAAGAATCACACCAGATTTTTTGAACATGCACTAATCATGAGCTGGGACTGTTACTGAATGTAACATGGGAGTTAAAAGCAGCTGTGGCGGCGGAAAACAGAATGGGAGTCGTGGCAAAGAGTTGGCAGATAAGTGTTATTTGCACGGTACAGAATATTTTAATAAAAATACCAACTCCGACATTCCTCACAGTGGTGCTGGAGGCCTGGACGATGCCATCCAGAGTAACTATATCTTTAGATAATGCGTACACGGAGTACAATAACTTCAGTTTTGTCTGAGTTTAACATTAGAAAATTAGAGGTCATCCAGGTTTTAATATCCTGAAGGCACATTTAGAGTTCAGCAAACTGATTAGTTTCATTTGGCATGATCGATAGATATAATTGATTGCATAACAATTAAGGTTTATGGAGTGTTTCCTGATAATATTGCCTAAAGGAAGCATATATAAAGTGAAGAGGATTGGTCCCAGCACAGGTCCTTGTGGAACTCCATGACTGACTTTGGTGTGCATGGAGGATTTATCGTTAACATGTAAAAACTGAGATTGATCTGATAAATAGGACTTAAACCAGCTTAGAGACAATTAAATGTTCCAGACTCTGTAATAGAATATGATGGTCGATGGTATCAAATGCAGCGCTAGGATCTAATAAAACCAGTACAGAGACAAGTCCTTTGTCTGATGCAATTAGGAGGTCATTGGTCATTTTCACTAGTGCTGTCTCTGTGCTATGATGAACTCTAAATGCTGACTGAAAATCCTCAAATAAACTTGCTATGTAGAAAGCCACACAGCTGTTTGGCGATGGCTTTCTCAAGGATCTTAGAGAGAAATGGAAGGTTAGATATAGGTCTATAGTTTGCTAGAACATCTGGATAAAGGTTGGGCTTTTTGAGAAGAGAGAAGAAATTATTATAGTTAGTTGGTAAAGATCGAGGAAAGCAAAGCAGTAAAAATATAAAGTATTTACAGCTGTTTTAAGGTTTCTGAGTTTAGAGATAAGTCGGTGCGAGTTGGGGGCAGGTCTTGGTGAATTTTGTCTCTAATAGTTATAATTTTATCATTAAAGAAGCTCAAGAAGTCGTAACTACTGAAAGCTATGGGAATACATGGCTCAATAGAGCTGTGACTCTCTGTCAGCCTGGCTACAGTGCTGAAAAGAAACCTGAGGTTGTTCCTATTTTCCTTTATTAATGATGAGTAGTAAGCTGCTCTGGCATTACGGAGGGCCTTCCTATAAGTTTTCAGACTATCTTGCCAAATTAAACAAATATTTTCCAGTTTGGTGGATGGCCAATTCAGACAGACATCTTGTGTAGACATTTTTGCCTAATGACATGTAGTTCAGCAATAGAAACTCTAAAGTTATCAAATAGTGGTCAGAGAAAAAGGGATTCTGTGGAAACATTATTAAATGTTCTATTTCAATACCATATGCCAGAACAACGTTGAGAGTGTGGTCAAAACAGTGAGTCGGTTAATGATCACTTTGAGAGGAGCCAATTGAATCTAATACAGAGATAAACACATTACTAACACTGTCATTCTCAGCGTCCACATGAATATTAAATTCCCCTACAATAATAAGTCAAAAAACAAACTACCACACACTGATCAGATCAGTGTGCAGTTTTTGACTTTTCATAGACTCATCCTGCTATCTACCAGCACCTGATTGTTGTTGCTGTGCTCGGGGAATTTCTTGTTTCATTTACATTTACTCATTTGGCAGACGCTTTTATCCAAAGCGACTTACATTTGAGGAACAACATACAAGCATCAACAGAGCATCAACTACAGATCTACAACTGACAATACATACTAGTAAGAGCAGCAATAAATACTAGTATTCATCACAGTACATATCACATCAATGGGGTAGATACCTAGGGAAGGAAGTAAGAGTTAACAAAAATTGCAATCAATACAAGATCATTGTAGGGGATAGAAGAAGAAGAGCACAGGAAGTGAATGTTAGAAGTTAGGAGTTAGAGGTGTTATAAGAGGAAGTGTTCTCGGAAGAGATGAGTTTTCAAGAGCTTCTTAAAGTTAGAGAGGGACGCCCTGCTCTGATGGCGTGTGGTAGCTCGTTCCACCATCGTGGTGTCACAGATGAGAATAGCTGGGACTGGGATTGCTGGGAATAACTTTATCCATTTTAAGGACGAAAGTAGACAAAAACTCTGCAAATTCAGTTAAAAATTCAGAGTATGTACCAGGTGCTCCGTACACTATAACAAATAGAATTGGTTGCAGTGATTTCCAACTTGGGTGTAAAAGACTAAGAACAAGGCTTTCAAATGAGTTATAATTTAGTTTAGGTTTAGAGCTGATTAGTAGACTAGAGTCAAAGATTGCTGCAACTCCACCTCTTCGGCCTGTGCCTCGGGGAATGTGAGTATTAATATGACTGGGAGGGGTGGATTCATTTAGGCTAACATATTCTTCATCACCCAGCCAGGTTTCAGTAAGACAAAATAAATCAATATCATAATCTGATATTAGTTCATTTACTAGTACACCTTTAGAAGAGAGAGATCTGATGTTTAGTCCACATTTAATTTTCTTAATCTTTTGCACTATTGCACTTGTGGTTTTAATTTTTATGAGGTTTTTATGCACAGCTCCTCTTCTGTTTACCTTTGATTTAAATAATTTCAGTGGTCGGGGGCAGACACCATCACTATGGGGTTTTTGCTAGGTAACTCCTGAAATGGAGGAGCAGAGAAGCGTCTTAGACTGCGACTCTGCGTAGGGTTTTGGGTGGGTAACTGCTGAAATAGAAGGGCAGAGAAGTGTGTTAGACTGCAATACTGCCACCTGGTCTCAACTCTGGATTGTCATGGATTTGGTTCACTAATAAACTTGGCTAGATTACTAGACATGAGAAACTAATCAGACCAGGTCTTCCCCAGAAAGTCTGCCAATCGTTTGGTTCCATCTGCTGACAAGCTGTATGGTAATGCTGATTTCCTGTTTCAACAGGACTTGGCACCTGCCTGGTTTGTGGACCATGGTGTTCAGAAGATCGACATTTCTGTATAATAAATCATATTTTAAAATATTTTGATTTATAGTGTTTTTAATTTCCATGAGATGTAAGCTGTGATCATCAAGATTAAAACAAAAGAAAATTCACTTTATGTCCAATTAATCTAAAATATATGAAAGTTACTCTTTTTCACTTAAATTACAGGCAAAATGAACTTTTCCAAAATATTAAAATCTTCTGTGATTCAACTGTATAAGGACTCTGCAAGTAAGTGCTGGAAGGTTTAGCAGATTTTTTGGCACATAATTTGTGAAGATGGACCAGTGTATATATATATAGAGGGACTAACAAGGGAATCAGCTACTGCAGACAGGGAGGGGAGCAGGGAACAGGTGAAGGGAATGAGGTAATCAGCCTGACATGAGGGAATGGAGTCAGGAGAATTGGCAACCCTGAGCTAACCGAAATGGATAAAGTACAATCACAGGTTTGGTCCTAAGTAGTCATTGTCATACCAACGCGTCATACAGTGGAAATTCTTATTTTAATGCTACCTATTTAAGGTTGACCCTTCAGCTAAGATAGGAGCTGTTTTCATTTTTAGTTAAGACTTGAACTGATGCTGTGTCTCAATTTGCCTCCTTCCATACTTACACTTGCTATATTGAGTGCATAAGTAGCCTATGGCAAAATGCAGTGCACTATAAGTACCCGATCTTTTAATGGTCATAAAGGTTAAAGTGGAATGCTGGACACTTCTCACCCTCAGTGGTCGCCATCTTGGCTATGTAGAGGAAGACTAGGGACCACCAACCTATTTTACAACCTGTGAAAATAGTGGCAGAGGAAGCTGCAGCGGTTGCAATTGGAAAAGTAAAAGTACATTCATTTTTATTAAAACTGACTTGAAGTCAATTGAGAAAACAAGTTGGCAGATATTTTGGTGGGTGACAATCATTGTCAAATATTGGCAATGATACTCCCAGTTATAATTTGCCATTTAATAAGAAGAACAAGAAGAAGTTTTGCAATCATCGTTTCTAGTTGTGCATGTTGTTTTCCTTGCTTTCATTTTTGGTGTTGTTGTACTCTGAAATGCTGTACTAGTGTTTTTTAACCTGCTGAACAAATGTTAAATGAAATAATTTGTTTTCTTAGTGTGATCCCGTGAATGAACCTGGAGATGTAGAATACTATGAGAAGAGTGATGATAGCAGAACAGTGGAAAGAGAATCTGAAATCAAGTCTGTATCATCTGCAACCAATGAGAAAGGTAACATTTGAATGAAAATGTTATTGGACAGTAATTTTACAGTAAATTGTAATTCAACTGTATTAATGAAATAGGGAACTAACTAAATTAATCTGATATGTTGGCTGTGACCTTTCAATAGGAAAGGCTGATGAAGTTAGAGAGGTCAAAAATGAAAGCAGCAGTAACACGGGTGAGCTGCCCATGGACAAGTGTGACGCAGTGAGGGACACAATTCCAACATCTCAGACTGTTTCAACAGTGACCAAAGAATGTAAGAAATACTTCCATTTCCTTTTGTTTACATTGCATTTCTGCAAAATCAGTGTAATTCAAAATATCTGTTTGGTATAGGAGATTAAGCTTGCTGAACAATGAACTTTTTGAATATGCAAAACATTATTGAAAATAAATCTTATTAACCTGGAACAGTTAACTGACCAAAAACATTTTTTTACATTTGATCCTGCTTGTTGTTACATTACTCTGCAGTGGATGATCTGGAGGAGAGGGCAGCTACATCAAAGGTGAGATACAGTCACTGACTCAGGCCCCATCCACACTACTCCGTTTTAGTTTACAAACGGAGATTTAAAACGAATACAATCTCCGTCCACAACAGCGTTTTAGCTGCGTGTCAGAGTTGATCTCTGTCTACATTAAAACGACTGGAAACGCACATTTTGTGGCTGGTCAGGTACTCTGGGCATACGTGTGCTGGTAAACATGAAGCAGATGGTCTCTCTCTTCCAGTTACAGAAGATTTGGTGAGAGAATAAAATAATGCAGACAAAGAATCACACCAGATTTTTTGAACATGCACTAATCATGAGCTGGGACTGTTACTGAATGTAACATGGGAGTTAAAAGCAGCTGTGGCGGCGGAAAACAGAATGGGAGTCGTGGCAAAGAGTTGGCAGATAAGTGTTATTTGCACGGTACAGAATATTTTAATAAAAATACCAACTCCGACATTCCTCACAGTGGTGCTGGAGGCCTGGACGATGCCATCCAGAGTAACTATATCTTTAGATAATGCGTACACGGAGTACAATAACTTCAGTTTTGTCTGAGTTTAACATTAGAAAATTAGAGGTCATCCAGGTTTTAATATCCTGAAGGCACATTTAGAGTTCAGCAAACTGATTAGTTTCATTTGGCATGATCGATAGATATAATTGATTGCATAACAATTAAGGTTTATGGAGTGTTTCCTGATAATATTGCCTAAAGGAAGCATATATAAAGTGAAGAGGATTGGTCCCAGCACAGGTCCTTGTGGAACTCCATGACTGACTTTGGTGTGCATGGAGGATTTATCGTTAACATGTAAAAACTGAGATTGATCTGATAAATAGGACTTAAACCAGCTTAGAGACAATTAAATGTTCCAGACTCTGTAATAGAATATGATGGTCGATGGTATCAAATGCAGCGCTAGGATCTAATAAAACCAGTACAGAGACAAGTCCTTTGTCTGATGCAATTAGGAGGTCATTGGTCATTTTCACTAGTGCTGTCTCTGTGCTATGATGAACTCTAAATGCTGACTGAAAATCCTCAAATAAACTTGCTATGTAGAAAGCCACACAGCTGTTTGGCGATGGCTTTCTCAAGGATCTTAGAGAGAAATGGAAGGTTAGATATAGGTCTATAGTTTGCTAGAACATCTGGATAAAGGTTGGGCTTTTTGAGAAGAGAGAAGAAATTATTATAGTTAGTTGGTAAAGATCGAGGAAAGCAAAGCAGTAAAAATATAAAGTATTTACAGCTGTTTTAAGGTTTCTGAGTTTAGAGATAAGTCGGTGCGAGTTGGGGGCAGGTCTTGGTGAATTTTGTCTCTAATAGTTATAATTTTATCATTAAAGAAGCTCAAGAAGTCGTAACTACTGAAAGCTATGGGAATACATGGCTCAATAGAGCTGTGACTCTCTGTCAGCCTGGCTACAGTGCTGAAAAGAAACCTGAGGTTGTTCCTATTTTCCTTTATTAATGATGAGTAGTAAGCTGCTCTGGCATTACGGAGGGCCTTCCTATAAGTTTTCAGACTATCTTGCCAAATTAAACAAATATTTTCCAGTTTGGTGGATGGCCAATTCAGACAGACATCTTGTGTAGACATTTTTGCCTAATGACATGTAGTTCAGCAATAGAAACTCTAAAGTTATCAAATAGTGGTCAGAGAAAAAGGGATTCTGTGGAAACATTATTAAATGTTCTATTTCAATACCATATGCCAGAACAACGTTGAGAGTGTGGTCAAAACAGTGAGTCGGTTAATGATCACTTTGAGAGGAGCCAATTGAATCTAATACAGAGATAAACACATTACTAACACTGTCATTCTCAGCGTCCACATGAATATTAAATTCCCCTACAATAATAAGTAAAAAAACAAACTACCACACACTGATCAGATCAGTGTGCAGTTTTTGACTTTTCATAGACTCATCCTGCTATCTACCAGCACCTGATTGTTGTTGCTGTGCTCGGGGAATTTCTTGTTTCATTTACATTTACTCATTTGGCAGACGCTTTTATCCAAAGCGACTTACATTTGAGGAACAACATACAAGCATCAACAGAGCATCAACTACAGATCTACAACTGACAATACATACTAGTAAGAGCAGCAATAAATACTAGTATTCATCACAGTACATATCACATCAATGGGGTAGATACCTAGGGAAGGAAGTAAGAGTTAACAAAAATTGCAATCAATACAAGATCATTGTAGGGGATAGAAGAAGAAGAGCACAGGAAGTGAATGTTAGAGTTAGGAGTTAGAGGTGTTATAAGAGGAAGTGTTCTCGGAAGAGATGAGTTTTCAAGAGCTTCTTAAAGTTAGAGAGGGACGCCCCTGCTCTGATGGCGTGTGGTAGCTCGTTCCACCATCGTGGTGTCACAGATGAGAATAGCTGGGACTGGGATTGCTGGGAATAACTTTATCCATTTTAAGGACGAAAGTAGACAAAAACTCTGCAAATTCAGTTAAAAATTCAGAGTATGTACCAGGTGCTCCGTACACTATAACAAATAGAATTGGTTGCAGTGATTTCCAACTTGGGTGTAAAAGACTAAGAACAAGGCTTTCAAATGAGTTATAATTTAGTTTAGGTTTAGAGCTGATTAGTAGACTAGAGTCAAAGATTGCTGCAACTCCACCTCTTCGGCCTGTGCCTCGGGGAATGTGAGTATTAATATGACTGGGAGGGGTGGATTCATTTAGGCTAACATATTCTCATCACCCAGCCAGGTTTCAGTAAGACAAAATAAATCAATATCATAATCTGATATTAGTTCATTTACTAGTACACCTTTAGAAGAGAGAGATCTGATGTTTAGTCCACATTTAATTTTCTTAATCTTTTGCACTATTGCACTTGTGGTTTTAATTTTTATGAGGTTTTTATGCACAGCTCCTCTTCTGTTTACCTTTGATTTAAATAATTTCAGTGGTCGGGGGCAGACACCATCACTATGGGGTTTTTGCTAGGTAACTCCTGAAATGGAGGAGCAGAGAAGCGTCTTAGACTGCGACTCTGCGTAGGGTTTTGGGTGGGTAACTGCTGAAATAGAAGGGCAGAGAAGTGTGTTAGACTGCAATACTGCCACCTGGTCTCAACTCTGGATTGTCATGGATTTGGTTCACTAATAAACTTGGCTAGATTACTAGACATGAGAAACTAATCAGACCAGGTCTTCCCCAGAAAGTCTGCCAATCGTTTGGTTCCATCTGCTGACAAGCTGTATGGTAATGCTGATTTCCTGTTTCAACAGGACTTGGCACCTGCCTGGTTTGTGGACCATGGTGTTCAGAAGGTCGACATTTCTGTATAATAAATCATATTTTAAAATATTTTGAGATATAGTGTTTTTAATTTCCATGAGATGTAAGCTGTGATCATCAAGATTAAAACAAAAGAAAATTCACTTTATGTCCAATGAATCTAAAATATATGAAAGTTACTCTTTTTCACTTAAATTACAGGCAAAATGAACTTTTCCAAAATATTAAAATCTTCTGTGATTCAACTGTATAAGGACTCTGCAAGTAAGTGCTGGAAAGTTTAGCAGATTTTTTGGCACATAATTTGTGAAGATGGACCAGTATATATATAGAGGGACTAACAAGGGAATCAGCTACTGCAGACAGGGAGGGGAGCAGGGAACAGGTGAAGGGAATGAGGTAATCAGCCTGACGTGAGGGAATGGAGTCAGGAGAATTGGCAACCCTGAGCTAACCGAAATGGATAAAGTACAATCACAGGTTTGGTCCTAAGTAGTCATTGTCATACCAACGCGTCATACAGTGGAAATTCTTATTTTAATGCTACCTACCACCTGTTTTCATTTTTAGTTAAGACTTGAACTGATGCTGTGTCTCAATTTGCCTCCTTCCATACTTACACTTGCTATATTGAGTGCATAAGTAGCCTATGGCAAAATGCAGTGCACTATAAGTACCCGATCTTTTAATGGTCATAAAGGTAAAAGTGGAATGCTGAACACTTCTCACCCTCAGTGGTCGCCATCTTGGCTATGTAGAGGAAGACTAGGGACCACCAACCTATTTTACAACCTGTGAAAATAGTGGCAGAGGAAGCTGCAGCGGTTGCAATTGGAAAAGTAAAAGTACATTCATTTTTATTAAAACTGACTTGAAGTCAATTGAGAAAACAAGTTGGCAGATATTTTGGTGGGTGACAATCATTGTCAAATATTGGCAATGATACTCCCAGTTATAATTTGCCATTTAATAAGAAGAACAAGAAGAAGTTTTGCAATCATCGTTTCTAGTTGTGCATGTTGTTTTCCTTGCTTTCATTTTTGGTGTTGTTGTACTCTGAAATGCTGTACTAGTGTTTTTTAACCTGCTGAACAAATGTTAAATGAAATAATTTGTTTTCTTAGTGTGATCCGTGAACGAACCTGGAGATGTAGAATACTATGAGAAGAGTGATGATAGCAGAACAGTGGAAAGAGAATCTGAAATCAAGTCTGTTCCATTTGCAACCAATGAGAAAGGTAACATTTAATGATTAATTGAAAGCTGCAGTAATATGAAACAGTCAAACTTAGTTCAATAACACCTTGCTCTGACCTTCTTATAATACAGTTATTCTATTGTAGGTACCTTAGATATGGATATGAGTGGAAACAAGGATGAGGTAAGACGCTCCCAATGTTTTTACAAGATCTTTAGGATTATTTACTTTATCTCATTGTATGAAATTATCATTTTTACATACAGTACATATTTATTTGCTTATTCACAGCAGTCAGTGAAAATTTCTGAAGAGATCAAAAGGAAGAAAGAATATCAAAGAGAAACTGAAACACTGCTTGGCAGACTTCACCTTCAATACAAACATCAACAGAAGTTGACACCAGCAGATTTTCTTAAAATTGGGCCACCTGTGAAACAGGACCAGGACACATCTGAGAAAGATCTAGCTCGTACTTTTCTTCAGAGGTTGATGATGTTAGACTACAGAGCCAGATACATTCCTGTAAGAAGACGTCCTGAGGTGAGCCAGTCAAAGCTTGTTCCAGTGTTTGACACTGTTGAGACGGATGCCTTAGATGCTCTTTTTAGCACCAGTGTAGACTCAGATCAATCAAAACAGACTCACGTGCATCCAATGGATGTTCAAATGGCAGTATTTCACTGCTCAGACAGCTTCCTTAAGCAGAACATGATCACAAAGCTATCACAATGTCAGTATGCCTTACCTTTGCTTGTTCCTGACCCAGTCACAATGGAGACTGAATGCCCTCTGTGGACTTTCAGACAAATAACGAAAACATGGAAGATAACTCAAATCAAAGATGATTCAAACACTGTCACCATGAAGAGTATGCCCATCTGCAAAGCTGAGACACCCATGGTGTCATTTTTCCGCCTGGGTTCACTGTCACTATCTAAATCTCAGCTGATGAACTCTTTGATCAACGACCGTCACAGCACCTTCTTCCACAGAAACTGCCCAGGTAGCACCAAGTCTCGCCATCTGATGGATGGTGTGGCAGAGATAGCCTGGTACTGCCCTGCTGGAAAACACAACGATGCATTCACTGACTGCATAGCCTTCTGTAATTTCATGGTGATGCTCTGTCAACTGACAAACAGCGTGACATACTGATGGAAAAATCTTCAGTCACTGTTGTTCTTGTACCAACTCTGGAAAAAGGTGACAAAAGTTCTAAAGTTATCTCAGCACTTTACAAGTCTCCAAGCCTCTCATTATTCTCATTGCTGATAACGATGGTGGTGCAGTTCAGTTGAAAAAGGGAAAATACAAAATGGGTCTGAAAGACAGAAGCCAGTCAGATGTTTCTGAAGAACTGAAAGGAATCATTGGAAACATTTTGTCTGGACCACATGCATCCTTCAAACTTGAAGCCATGGCTGAGGTCTCTGGAATCAGAGTGGATGAAGAAGACAAAGGCTGCCAAAAAGGGAAATCTGCTGCAATGAAAATAGTGAATTTGCTTCAGGGGATGGATGTTTCAAAGATTAAAGATAGATTTCTCCCTTGTCAAGGCCGACTGTGGCATGAGTGGTGCAAAATAAACAAAGAACTGTATCACCTCAGAGGACACATTGAGAAAGAGAAAGCTGTGAAGCAAAATAAATTAAAGCAAATACGGGACGATCAATGCGCTGCTTCCTGCAGTGAACTGATGACGTTGTTCATTGAAAGCCTCTCATCTTTGTCATCAACAGACAAAGAGTATTTCCTGAAATGGACTCAGATCTTAATAGATGCGCTCTCCACAGACGATCTCTCTTTAATTCTCCAAAGCTATGATGAAAAGTGGTCTGAGGTCTTGGCTTTGAAGAAGAAACATGACAAATCTGATCAGCTTAGAAGAAAGCAAACTGAGCTTGAACAAATATCAACAAATCTACAGTCAGCAACTTTTGGCTTGGAGCACATCTTTAGAGAAATGGGACAGATCTATGAAGCTCATGCATCTCCGCAGAAACAAGGAAAGGAGGGACAGACTGACTGGTCTAAATACCCTGAGCTGGCTGCAGAGCTGATGATATCAGGACACCCAATGGAGCTGATGGATGGTGATGCAGGTCATGTGCCTTTGACATGGATCTCCGGTTTTTAAATGAAGTCATCAAGAAACTGGGCGACCAGAAAGTTTTTGTTTTGTCAGTTTTAGGCGTACAAAGCAGTGGAAAATCCACCATGCTGAATGCCATGTTTGGATTACAGTTTTCAGTGAGTGCTGGCAGGTGCACCAAAGGTGCCTTCATGCAGCTGGTCAAAGTATCAGACGAGATCAAGCAAGACTTTCAGTTTGACTACGTTCTGGTGGTGGACACTGAAGGTTTGCGTGCTCTTGAGTTGGAAGGTAACGCCACTCTTCACCATGACAATGAACTGGCAACATTTGTTGTTGGTCTGGGAAACATGACATTGATCAACATCTTTGGAGAGAATCCAGCTGAGATGCAAGATGTTCTGCAGATTGTTGTTCAGGCTTTCATGAGGATGAAGAAGGTTAAACTTTCTCCAAGTTGTGTGTTTGTTCACCAGAATGTTACAGATATTGCAGCTGCAGAGAAAAACATGGATGGAAAGAGACGCCTGCAAGAAAAACTGGACCTGATGGCCCAACTAGCAGCCAAAGAGGAGGTTGTGATGCAGAGTGCTTCAATGACGTCATTGCATTTGACGTGCAGAAAGATGTGAAGTACTTTGCCCAACTATGGGAGGGAAGTCCACCTATGGCTCCTCCAAATCCAGGTTATAGTGAGAGTGTCCAAGAGCTGAAGAGCATCATCCTCTCTAAAGCTTCACAGTCTGCTGGCATTACTCTCTCACAGTTCAAAGGCAAAATTCAGGACTTGTGGAATGCCTTGTTGAACGAACACTTTGTTTTCAGTTTCAAAAACACACTTGAAATTGCAGTTTACAGGAAACTTGAGGTGCAGTATGGGAACTGGACCTGGACCCTGAGGAGCGACATGTTGACCATTGAGAACCAGCTTTATACCAGAATTGAAAATGGAAAACTTGACAAGGTTGATCTCAATTATCTGTTTAAAGAAATGAGCCAAACATATGGAGAAATCAAAAAAGCAATGACAACGTACTTTGAGGACAACAGAGACAAAGAAATGTTGGTTCAGTGGCGAGGACTATTTGAAAGCAAAATCAAGGAGTTTCATGATGAACAAGTGAGAGGAGTTAAACGAAAACTAGAAGAAGTTATCCGGCAGAAGAATGCTCGTAAAAAGCTGGATGACAAGAAAACAGAGTTTGAGAACAAGCTGCTACAAAAGAGCAAAGAGCTCGCTCATCAGTTAAAAGACAAAGCAAAGGATGAAGAGGAACTTAAAAGGCAGTTCAACTCTGTTTGGAGCAGCTGGGTCACTGAGCTAACTGCAGATATTAAACCTATTGAGGAGATCAACTTGAAAGAAGATCAGTTTACTGTCCTTCAAGAGCTTAGCATTGAGTGGCCTCTCATAGACGAATCCAAAAGCAGTGGCAGGTACAACAACATGTCAGAGGCTGGAGATTATTTTGATTATGTAACCCTCACAAAGCACCAAGAGATCTGTGACACAAGCCAACAATCCCAAGATGATAAGGTGGAAAACAAGAACACAGAAGGTCAAGGAAGGTTTGCATTATGGGTGTCTGTTAAAAAACTATTTGGATTTGGATCAACACAACAAAACAAAACACATACATCGAGGAGTCATTTATCATATGAAGAACAGCAACTGATCAGATCCCTCATTGACGATGTCGAACAGCAGACCATAGATATAATCAAGAGCAAACCTGTCGCTACAAGAGGCTACAGTCCAACTTACTTGCAAGAAGTGGCCAAAAATGTAAAAGAACAAGTGACAGAATTTGAATCAAAGAGGAAATATACTCTGAAGAAGAAGTTTACAGTTGACCTCTTGCTGTATGTGTTTCACAGAGCAGAGAGTTGGCTTTCACAGTCCCATGAGAAATTCAAAATGAACAACGATGCCCTCACTTATTTAGAAAACAAGAAGATGCAATATTACAACATTTTCGGAAGCTTCTGCAGAGGAAGCTCGTCTGCTGTTGTGCTTGGAGGACTGATCTGTGAAAAGCTGAAGGTTTCCACTGTCGAGGCTGTCTGTAACAAGACTGCCATTGATCTCGCTGGAGAGATGAAGTGCAGTTTCCCAGCATTCAGTGGGAACAGGTTGAACTTGGAGAAACATGTGTTGAAGTCACTGGCTGAGAAAGAGGACTTGGATGGTTTTATACCTACATCCAACACCCAAGGAAGCAAGTTGAGACTTTTATAAAACAGCAAGTAAAGAAATACATCTTCACAGAACAAAGATATAAAGCACGAAATATACTCAAGAAAAATGTTGAAAACATCAATAAATGTGTGAGTCAAGCTTTATTTACTGCAACAGAGGAAGTCAAAATCCAGAGAGGAGACACAGACATGTGGGTGGAAGAGTTTTCCAGTTTGTTAAAAGATGAGTTAACATTTGACCCCATTTGTTGTCAAAACTTCAAAGACATAAACAACTTTGACTTTCTGAAAGAAGAGATAGAGAGAGGCCTTATATCCATCACGAAGGAAGTGAGCAGCCTCTCACTGGATAAGATTGAGGAATTCAGACTGAAACCTGATCAAATCCTCATCGATCAGCTGTGTAACTGCTGCTGGGTCACGTGTCCATTCTGTGCAGCTGTTTGTACCAACACCATGAAAAATCACAGTCCAGACAAACACAATGTCCCTTTTCATCGCCCCTCTGGGATCAGGGGGTGGCACTTTGAAAACACAACGGAACTGGTCATCGACTTCTGCACAACTTTAGTTGCAAGTGATGGATGTTTCTACCCCGAGCATGATTCAAAAGAGACTTTTCCTTACAAACGGT